GGAAAATAGTTGCAAGCAAGCAACCGAATTGTTTTTTTATATTAGTTTTTCAATTTTATCCGAATAGTGAAAATAATAGGAGTAATGTGGGAACATCTGGGGCTAAGGCAATTATTGGCATAAAGTTCGTACATTTATTTTTCGTTCTTCATTTATTTAAATACTGTTTACTGTATCGGTAACAAGTGTTACACTGTTAGGCCTACTGTTACGGCTATGTTATTAAAAGTATTGTTGTTATAACAGAAATATGTGTTTTGTATCTTCAGGTTGTAAAACGTTATAGACGGAATTTGGAACCAGATTTGGTCCCCGGGCGCTGCACAGCGGCTGGGTTAAATGCAGAGGACACAATTAGTTTTAATGTATGCGAGTACTGAGACAATAAATAAATATAAATCGTAATAGTATGCTCTTTCTGCACTTCTGCTTAACAGCGTGTTGTCAGGTGTCTCTGATTCGGAGCGTGTTATGAAACCTTTTGGACATTTTTTTAAATTAAAAAACGAAAAAATCTCTCCGCACCGAATATTCGCTGCTGATTACTACCGAATATCCGGAGCCCGAAAAATGGTATTCGGGACAGGCCTAGTACAAAGTAGCAGTGAAAACATGGTACGGAATTTCATTGATTTGGGCATTCTCACAATAAGCAAGTGGAATGGATTTGATAATGAAGCACTGACACAGCGCTCTACAGAGAGTGGATATCCGCATAGTAAAAGTGGGGGGGTCTGAACTAATCATTTTAAAAAGGTGCGGGGGACTTGTCCCACCTAGTATAATGGCTGCGACGCCCATGGCAAAATATGTTACTAGTTAGATGTGTATACATAGGCACACAGGAAACTGTAGGTAAGGCTTCTCAACGGATATATTTACGGCAGAAATTACTTACGTCAAGTTCAAAGAACATATCTCTATCCTTGGAAGCAATTTCATAATCTGCCCGAAGAGCCAGGTCATGGATCTTCGTGCACTCTCCCAGGTCCATACGCTGTCACCAAAACACAGGAACATATCACTTAAAATAATATCAAACCGTTTAAGATCGCATGTTGTAGGTACATGGTTAACTTTCTTTCTACATTTCACTGGTGTACTCTGAAAATATTTTGGATGTGAGACAGAAGTGGGTTACTTACAGTTCCAGACAGGATGTCATGTGGACAGCAGTTCAGAAGATGACTTTTGCAGACTCGGTCGTCGCTGAACTTGACCATCTGCCGCGTCTCATCGCCTGTAACAGTCCAAAAAACACCCAGTCAGAAAGACCTCACATATTTGTCATCAGGGGCGAGGTATTCAGTGCTTTAATATACATAACTGTAACAACATTAAATGGGCAGATATGTGTCGTTATAACTGCATTCAAGGATTTTGTGTCCACCTAAATGAGTGAAAACAAATTAATTTATGTCGTTAAAAGTTTGACATATTTCATTTGTATAACAATATATAGTAATAGAGACTGTGCTACTACATTTATTTTCCATTGATGTTTCATGACTGAAGAAGGTAATGTGGCTCTGCGTGTGGATGTCCTTTTTATTCTTGGTGCTTATCTTAGCCAAACCTCATTTTAAAATATAGACATTTTTGAACCTCAACTAAGTTTAACTTGTAATGAGGCTCACTGTTCACCCTGTTAATGTGGAGCATTATGAGATAAAGCACAGGTCAATAATAACTATAAGCTTGTGTCAAATAACTAGTCTGAACAGAGATGACTTTAGCTTTGTTTCAGTGCAGGAAAGACTGCTATCATAAATGCGATAAAGCAATGTAATCATTTCAGACAGATTTTCCAGGGAAGCCGTTAACATGTAAGAAACATTGAAAATCAAATCAAAAAGAAAAACATAAAACAAAAGAACTCCAAGGAAAAAAAATTAGTTTATACACACTGCGATCCGCACCACATACTGTACCCTTCTGCATCTTCAAGACCTCAGCTGCAGAATTTTAAACCCGCTGTAGAAAAGTATAAATGGGAACAGTTTTCTTGCCCATACCTGTAGTAAGAAGTTGGGAGTGATACACAAGTCAGATTGTAAATGATGTGTGCAAAGTTGTGGTTGTTTTTTTCTGGATGTTTGTTCAAATTGCCTTCTGAAAATAGATGAACTGCTCGTTTGGATTCTGCGCGACCAGACGTCTTAGCACAAGCTGCATTACACTACGCCAAATTGAATATCTAGTGCCACTGAAGATCTACCCATTTGTGTGTTTAAAAAAAGTCTACAGTAACTTCCGGAAGGCAAACAAATGGTTGGGATATTCATCATAACAGCTTTAAAAATTATGTGTGACTCACGGCTCGATGAACATGAGGCTTTTCTGCAACTCCTTTGCAGATTGTTGTAGGCTGGCAAAGATACACTGAACCTTAATGAATAAAATAAAGGGGCCACAATTGTTCAGTTTGTATGCAACAAATGTATGGGAAGAATTTGATATAAATCTTATCACACATACATCCACAAGCTCACAACACAAATTCACTTATTGAGATTGAATTATCATTAATTCAAAATGATAATCCACAAGGCTGTATTTCTGTTCAATCATCAGGATGAACCTCCGATTTATAAAATGACAGCTGTCATTCCTGCCCATCAACAGCTGAGTTACACTTTAATGTTTGTATCCAAAAGGACTGAAAACAATACAATTGTATTTAAGCAAGTCAAAGCTTTTTACTCAGTATATTTATTTAGGATTAATTTAGCTGATTACTGATAACATTTCACCATCCAAACAGATCATCAGCTTGAAATGTAAGTTTGGATTTACAGTAATAAAAATAAATTATCCAACAGTATACAAAAGTTACAATTAGCCCCGTCTTAAGCCATCTACACACTACAATTCTGCTTCCACTTTAGACCATTGGTTATAACGATTAATTATATGATCATTATGTAAACTGGCAGGGACTACTGCATAATATATAGCTTGTTGTTAATCCTATTCGGGATAATTACTTGAGTAAAAATAGGAATACAGGACATTATAGTGGAGTTCAATTATTTAATTCTTTCTGCCTTCTAATATGTGACATGAGCAATCACCAGCATTTCACACGGGTAAGATAAGAGGGTAAAGCAGGAAAAACAGGGAAAACTGGTAGGTCCAATGTTAAGTTTAGCCTGCATGTCCTTGACATGTGACTCAATTATATGTATTGTGAATGTAATGCAGAGTCGTTAATGTGACCCACATAATAGGACTAAAACCAGAGCATGTATACATTTCAGTATATCGCTCAATGCTAGGTCCCATAGTGTTAGCTAGCCAGGCTACTAGCTAGGAATGTAGTAAACTCGGTAAAGACGAAACAAAAAACAATTTAAACATTTCAATTAACCCAAATGGATACAAACATTAAATCCTTAAGTGTATCAGTAGACTTGAATCTACTGTATTTTACACAGCCCTCTGCAGTATTAGCTTGATCCATTCATGCAGGTCTGTCCATCACACACCAACACAAGAAGCCGCAGCAGTGGCTCCATCTTGGCTAGCTCTCTCAGCTAGCATTACAGCTACATCAACTCACCATCCCTCGCTGTTCCCATCAGCTGGTCGAGCAAAGCTCTCATTTGAGCTTGGGCAGACATTGTTGTGGGCCTTCCGTCGATGAAGAAAGCACCAGAAACAGTTCCTAAGTATTTTTTGTGAAGTTAATTGATTCTTTTTTTTCGTCCAAGCATCGCCTCTCGCCGCTTTTCTCTCTTTCGTGAACTCGCCCGTTTCCGTTTTATTTGACGGAAATGACGAAATGCCTTGTTCGTTTAGCCTAAGATAAAGGGCGGGATTAAGGTATGAAACCGACCAATCGTATGGCTTAAGAACAAGAGAATAAACCAATCAGAGCTACTTGAACCCAACGCTGGATGCTATTATATTATTTGCCCCGAACTTAATCTTTCAGGCAGCACATACGTAGAGCCTGATTGTTCCCTGGTGTTTCCCCTAACTTCAGGTTATATTACAGTTTAGACAAGAAAACATCAATTATCCCTAGTTTCATAGTTTGGGGTTTTGGCATCTTCTATGCAGTCAATGTCAACGTGTAACGTTAGCAGAGAGAAATGACTACCCGTTAGACAAACTCAGGGCAACAAAACCTTCCTTACTAGCTAGTGTGTATGTTTACGGAGCTAAAGTTGACAGGCAGTTGTTGTCAGGCCTACTACCTGTAGTTAGCCTCACCAGTGACCACTAAAGAAGACAGTGGGGAACAAAGTAAGAAAAACCTTTTTTGACTCTTATCTATTATTTATCAAAGCTCAAGTGGCGCGGGACTATTGTAATACAATCACGTTTACCTGTATTCATTCTTCTGTGGGCAGTGGCCTTTTTGCTCAACAAGTTAGCAAACTATCGTTAACCAGAGATTCACTTTCCTAACCCAAGCTAGCTAAAAAATATCTCAATCAGACATTGAAATATACGGGGAAAACGTTCTTTTGTTGCGGCTATTTAGCTAACATCGCACGGTTATTTCAGATTTAAAATAATTATGCCAGTTAATAAGCTTCATAACTCACGTACACCATGTTAATGGTAACACGCCCAGTGTGCTAGCAAATGTGATGATTATCATTGTCATCGCGGGTCTGTTTTTGTGCTGAGAAATCTCTGGAATCAGAGCTGGCACGTAGGAATGGGCTGAGATCTACAAAGGTTGGTGCAGCAGAAATAGCCAAACTGACAGACAGACACTGCTGCCTTTAGTATTTATGTTTAATTTACTATTATGTGAATACCAGATAGTTTTGTCTGCTATTATTGCCGGTTACTTTGACACTTGCAAATGTGTAGTTTACTCCCCACTGTAATAGATCAGGAAGCACCAAACTCTTTGCTATGTACTGAGTGTGCAATAAATAGATAGGGTCTTTTCATTTAAAGGGGCCCTATTATGGTTGTGTTTTTTTTTCGCCCTTTCCTGTAGTGTGTTTTATATAGTTTTTTGTGCATTTAAATGGTCTGCAAAGGCTCAAATCCCAAAGCTCTCTCCCACACACCTCCATTGGCCTCCTTTGTTTACTTCTTTAACCTAGTGACATCACTATGTAACACTCGCACTTCTATTGGCTAAGACTCCAACAAATTGTACATGATTGGATAAGGAGTGGGACATCTCTAAGCAGTTGATCAATCACAACAGAGCCAGTCCGTTATCCAATCAGAGCAGACTGGGCTCAGAAGTGTGAAAAGAGGTGCTGCAGTACAGACAGTATGAGACAAATAAAGACCTTTTTGAACATTAAAGCATGTAAACATGTCACAGTAGAGACACAACACACACATCTGAACTCGCAAACGAGCATAATAGGGCCTCTTTAAGTGTGCATTCAAGACTAGCATAACATTGAGGTCAGGATCTTAATGTAAGCTCTCTTCCCTGTTTAGTAGAATTGTGGGCTGGTAAATGCATTGAGGCTACAATGGAGACGACAGGCAGTGCCACTGAAGGCGACCCTCTGAAGAGCGGAGAGGAAGGAGCAGAGACGGGAACAGCACCATCAGCAGCAGAGCTGAAGAAGAAGAGTTATAAGGAAGTCATCGGGCTAACCAAGCTCACCCATTGGAGAACCGGATTCTTCTTCTTCTCCTTGTTCCTCTGCCTCACCATAGTGTTCGCCTTCTCCTTCGTCCTCCCCTGTCCTGTCAGACCACAGTACAACGTTACTTGGAACAGGAATTTCACTGAAGCAGGTGTGTACATTTGTTTGCTTCTCACTGCCTGGTAGTGTTTTATTATTCACGGGACTTACTACTATTCTCTCCTTCTCTCACAGAAACATATGACTTCTTAGCCATAGAAGATGCAAGCAAAGACAAGGTGATGGATGTCTTGTTTGTCCTGAAAGACACAGAACCCAGTCCGAACAACACGTGTGCTAATGCAGGTAGAAAGAATAAGTTCATCAAACGCGAGGACACAAGAGTTTGCTGTGTATTGCTTTTGTTTTGTGTGATTCACACTTTTCTGTGTTCCAGGTCTGCCCTCTCCATGTGTGTTTGTGATGGCAGTGGACGGGACGGGTGGGAAGACACTGTGGGGCCGTCCGCTGGCTCCAGAGTTTCACTGGGCCCAGTGCGGTCTGGAAGATGAAACCGGCAGAACCTGGGACTGTCTGCTGTCCCACTCCGACCAACTCACAGCTCTTGACAAATTCACTGGTTGGTGACTCATTGCTCTCTGTTTTATGTATAACATACATAACATCTCTTTTTCAAAAAGCATTTTGCCATACAGCTTTTGTAAATGGCTGTCGTCCATGTGTTGCGTTCAGCTCATTTCCCCGTTAGAATGAGTCGTGACATTAAAAGCAAGGATTCAAAGCATTGCAAACTATAAAATAAAGAGGTTTTATCATTTAGAAATGTGGCTAAATATACTAAGCATAGTCCATCTGATGATCCCAGAGATGCATTTCAAACATAATCTCTTTCCACCTTTCTCCACGGCTATATCCAAGGTCGAACATGAACTTTAACGCTCAAGGAAAGCTGTACATTTAGTTAAAAAGTCAAATGGATTCAGTCAGCCTGAGTGGCCTGTTCCTGTGTGATGTGTGTGTGCAGGGGAGGTCAGGTGGCAGCATCCTCAGCCTCCTGGTCTGCGCAGCACCGTGCCCGTTCTGAGCGTCCCGGATCTGGACGGGGACAAGGTCAGCGATGTGGCTCTGGTAGCATCTGACGACACTCAGGTAAACATCAGTGGTATAACTTATGATTTAGCATCTATCCTGACACAGGGTCCCAGGTTTCCCCAAATTTCTTTCTTTTTGGTGTCTATATACGCCGGGATCCGGAATCATGGATGATCCTGCGGTCCTGTGTCATGGATCGCTAGTCCTGGATCTTGAGCCGTGGCTGTGGTCCTGGATCATAAGTCCTGGATGGATATCCTCGTGGATTCATCTTCCTATTATACACACATGCATTTCCAAACATTTGGTCTACCTATGTTGTAAATGTATTATCTTTTCGATTTACACACGGCATCTATTGCACGTCTGTCCGTCCTGGGAGAGGGATCCCTCCTCTGTTGCTCTCCCTGAGGTTTCTCCCATTTCCGCCTTTAAACTGTGGGGTTTTCTCTGGAAGTTTTTCCTTGTACGATGTGAGGGTCTAAGGACAGAGGGTGTCGTATTGTCATACTGATATTCTGTACAAACTGTGAAGTCCACTGAGACAAATGTAACATTTGTGATATTGGGCTATATAAATAAAGATTGATTGATTGATTGATTGATTGATTGATTGTACAGGTGCACTTCATGTCTATGTAAGTCTGATGTGTTTTAAACAGTTAAGTTTGAGTGGAAATTCATGTTTGTGAAGCAGTTCAGCCGGTTGAATCTTTGACTAAACTGCTCAAGTTGTGTAAAAGTTTGCATACGGATATTTTCCTATAGTTTTGCTGCTCTCAAACCCACTATTGCTTAGATTAATTGGGACTTGCTGTCGTTTTTTACTGTTGGCTATCAGTTCTTTAAGAAAAAAATTTCTTAAAGAATTTAAGATAACATGGAGTGAGTTTTTTTATATACTAATAGTCATTTTGTCGGTGTCGTAAAGACTTATAATATTTGTTTGATCTTCTTAGCAAGGGTAAGAAAATAAATAGTTGTTATTACGCTTTTATCCAAAGCGACTTCCATACATTCAGTACTGTGGGCAATCCCAACAGGAGCCAATTGGGGTGAAGTGTCTCAGGGACACAACGACATGCTGACTGCAGTGGGACTCAAACTTGCTACGCCCCTGATTCACAGTCCATCATACTATCCACTGAGCCACAGCCTCCTCAAGTAGACGAGCAACCAATGGAAGCTGTACGAAAAATGTAATCACTATAAATCCTCTTATCAGTGTGCAACATCAAAGCAGAGGAAGTCAAAGAGCAAGTTCTCACAATAAAAAAACACACAAACAAACTATCTTTAGCTGTTCAGCCACACAACTAAAATGACCATACAGGCAGTCAGACGCCTCACAGATCCCCACACTTCATATTCTGTGTGGTTTTCTATTAGCTGCCAAAGTCCAAAGCTCCTGCAGTGACCTCATGGCGGCGATAGTAGAGAGTGTTAAAAATCAAATATTTAAATAGTTGAGGCGACCCTGCTGCGAGTGATAAGTGCCCGACTGTAACAGCCTGTACTGAACATCCAACAAAACGCCATCCAATAATAACTTTCACACCACGTTTCAAGATGTTAACAGGTTAGTCTTACATAGTAAATCCAGTCTTGTTTACTTGACTTGTCTGGTTTTGTTCGCTAGGTTTTGGTTTATTTGTAAGAAATTAATATTATTTAAGTGTTAAAAAAGACCTCAAATAAGATAGTCTTTTAGGAAAGTAAGCCGTTTGGAAAAGGATCCCAAATATAGCATTTCTAACTTGTCTTCTTAGACTTTTCTATATATTTAAAAAAGCAGAAATATTCAAAAGCAAATATCTGCTCAGTTTCCTAAAACACACCTCTCTTAAATAAAAATATATGCGGGTGGACAGCCACGGTAATTTGGAAACGTTTTACGGTTAATTAACTTTTTGCTGAATCTGTGTGCCGCTGATATGCGATCTATAACTTTATCATCGATGGGTGTTTGATTGCATTTTGCTGCGTGGACGTTAAAGGTGATCTTTTCCGTAGCATTGACGCACATCAACCACCGACGTCTTGTATTTCTGTCCTATACATAAAAATTAAAAATATCTCCACATTTAACAACTAGCTCAGATTCTGAAACTAGATGCTGAAACCATCACATGCACGAGTGCTCTTCTCCTATATACAAGTGTTTATTTACTTTTACATTTAATATTTTATTTAATCCAAGGTTGGCTTTTTTCCTTATGTCCAACTTTTATTCTCCTTCTTATATTTTAATACTATTTTGATGGGAGGCGTGTGGCACAGTGGTTAGGGGAGCACAGGTTCAAACCCCACTGCAGTCAGCATGTCGTTGTGTCCCTGAGACACTTCACCCCAAATTGCTCCTGTAGGGATTGTCCACAGTGTTGAGTATGTAAGTCTCTTTGGATAAAAGTGTCTAACAAGTGACATGTATAATTATCCTCTTTTACTCAAGAGTATAAAGCACTGGTCTAAAGGGGTAAAAAGGAGGAGAAAGATTTTTGTATTTATTATGCAATTAAAGAATACATTTGAAATGTTCATAATAAGGCCAAACCGTCATTATAAGGTCAACACTAGTCATTATTTTGTGTGTGCAAATGTTTCTTTTCAATCTTGAAAAACCACGTTTTTTCTCAACAGTTCAACTGTATTTTTAAATTGCGAATGACTTCATCTGCGATAATGTTGGGAGCACTGAAAAGTGTGGCTTTATTCTAAACATCTTGACTTTATTCTCAACATTTGATATTTGTTTAAAATTATCTTTCACCTCAAATAGATGTATTTGTTATGCATTACACAAAAACCGAAAGTTAAACTTACAAAATGCAAAATTAAAAACTACCTCTTCCGATGTATTTTTTCCAATGCCTGGCACCAATGATCTTCCGTATATTGGGCTCAACAACAACCAGAGTACGATTCATCCTGCTGATTTTAAAGGTCCCATGTCATGGCCATTTCTATTGATCATGTTTCCATTGTTGAGGTCTACTAGAATAGATTTAAATTGTGCAATGTTCCAAACTCACATTGGTTTCTCAAACAGCATCTCTGTATAGTATGTGTATTCACTCTCTGTCCTACACGGCTTGTTGGAGCTCCTGCCCCCCCCCTCCCTGTGAGCCCACTGTGCTCTGATTGGTCGGGACGTTGCGAGGCTCGCTGCTCAGTGAGCTGGCTTACTGGTGTGGTTTCCGTGTCGGCGATACAGCGGGACAGCGCAAAACTCATCCTGAGCACACAAACACTCACAGCCGAAGTAAAAACAATAAGTGTGGCTTGATATTGAGTAAGAAAAAGGTTTGTAACGCTGTGAGAATGGATCTGCGGAGAGCATTTCTCCACCACCCCAACTCGTCTATTACCAGCGTTCAGGGAGCTCTATGCAAGTCAATGGGAATCCCTGTTAGTTGAAAATGTAAACGCTAAACGTCCTCGTGTGTGAGGAGCTGAGCGGATTGGTCCATTTTGGTACCGGGAACCCGGAACCAAACAATGGAAAAAGAGAAATGTCCAACGAGGCGTTCTGGGGCAGCATAGACAGGTCTTCTCTGTGTTAGAGTTTTACTCCCTACAGGGTGTACTTTGAGGGTTTGTGACTCTGCAGACCGTTTAGAACAACCTTCATAACACACAAGGGGACGGGTGATAACCGGAGAAGCATGACATGGGGACCTTTAAGCAAGCAAGATCCAATTTAGTCAGAAGAAAACAAACAATACAAAAAGAGAAATACAAACAATTATAAACAGTTTGAAAGAGATTACACAATGAACTTCAAAAAAGGCGCTAAAATAACCATGAAGAGAACACAAACACACAAGATGAGTAAAAACAAAAAAACTACAAAGAAACGTAAGAAAAGGTGCTAAAAGTGAATCAAAACGATTATGAACAAGAGACCACAAAGAG